AGCGTGTCTCTCAACCGGCGTGTGAAAAAGTAGGTGAAAAGGTTTGTCAGAATTCGCAGGTGATTTAAAAATAAAGTAAAGGGTTTTTCGGACTTTGCACACCAGTTAGAGAGTTAAGTGCATATTTATATTTGATTTAGGGTCCAACATGCTTATAAAATGTTGTTGGGGACTGACCCGCACTTTATGTTTGAGTTTAGGAATTTATCAGTATTTGCCCCTAATAGATTATATATCATGTTTTAGAAAGAAAAAAAATATTTGAGCTTAACACAAGCCTTCAAAACCTTCACCATCTACCAACTTTAACTTTTTTAGATCTAATAAAATCCAAATTGTGCTTCACACTTTAAAAATCTTCAATTATATCTTTACTGTTGGTTTTTGGCCCAAATGTGTTTTGGGCCAGAAAGCCCAATTTGCTCCATTTTTTATACACCACCATTGAGTTAAGCCCAAGAGTGAATAAGTGAGCCCAAATCTATATATGAGCCAAATCCATCCGTTGGATTTCTGGCTGAATCTGGACCGTTTATTCCCTCACTTAAATACTCTCTTCTCTCTCTTCTTCACCCTCATTCTGAAACTCTAGCTTTTACTCCTTCTCCGCCGCTTCTGCTTCTGTCTTCTTCCTCCCTTGTACTGCATTGACTCTGTCATGGCTGGAGGTGAAAGAGCACGGTACATGGCTGACTTTGACTCTCCAGTACAGCCTTCACCGGCTCTATTTGACTTCTGTCTCTATAAATACTGGCATGGAGGTTGGAAGAGGATAAGACACAGATAAAACCCTAGACTCAACCTAAATCTCTCAGTTTTTCAATTTATGAGTTCTGAAATTGGGGTTTTGGTGAGTGGGTAAGCTTGAGTGCTTGATCTGTTCTTTCCTTTGTGGTATTCTGGGTGAAACTAGGGTTTGTGTTGAGAGAGAAAGAAGATATGTTCTTCTTGTGGTACTCTGGTGGTGCATTGTGGAAAGTGTGAATCTCTGGTGTGAAAATTGGAAGACTGAGCTGATATTCTTAATATATTTATCTTTCAATTATATTCACCTTTATTTCTATCTTTCTGTTTTACTTGAGTGTATATATTCTCCTTAGCAGTAATCAATACTGCTTAAGGGGAACTTATACAAATTTAGGCTTTATGGAGCTTGGCAGATTTATAAGAGTCCGACGTTAAATAAGAGCCCGATTGATAACAAACATGACAAATTCAATATTTAAAATTTCTTCTTCTTATTGGGATTTGTATTCATTCTCATTCTAATCAAATTATCTTTATGGCGATGGATTCAGTTTCATTACATTTTTATTTATTTGTCATCACCTCTAATATTACAGTTCTGGCTTAATAAAGTATTTTATTTCCTAAGAAAAATCTATTTATTTGTACTCTTCAAATATATAAGTTTTTTCAATTGTTCCAAAACTTCATTCGTGTGCTTGTTTTTATAATAATGTGTCTCCTAACATTGTTGACATAAAATACTAACATGGACAACCAAACTTATCAAAACTCAAAGCTTTTGAGTTTGTTTATTATAAAACATTCAAGCTCACTAGTTATTGTCACATCTTCATCATTGTGTGTCAACTCAAATAAAACATTCCTCACTTCTTTAGTTTGTTGTAGCAATGATTTCACATTTTTAATGCAGTTTCCCTTCCTCTCGGGAACATTGACTTAAGAGTAAGACCATCAACATTAGCTTTCATAAGGAACAAAACAAAATAAAAAGTATGAAAAAATGTAATAGGAAATTCTTAGAGTAAAATATTGATTGGATTTGAAAATTTTGTCTTAAATATTTTTTCTTAATAAAGAAATTATTGATTTTTAAGTTTTAATTCAATAATAAGGGGTCCTAACTAAATAAATATGAATGTATAAAGGGTACTTTTTAACTCGAGCCTCTAAAGTTTATAAAAAATTGAGGGCTCAACTCTCAAGGCGACGAACATCTTTGTGGTCATTCCTCGGAATAGCTTGTGGTTATACTCTTTATTATAAGTGTCTTTTTGTAAATATGCCGTATTTTTTTTTTACTACAGATCTACACACAATGGTGCGGTGCGCTTAAATATACGTATTGAACGTACACGTATATAATTAAATCACGATTTGGTGAAAGATGAAAGATGGAATAATAAATCTAAGTTGGTGGTGTACAAAAGTTGGGAATTTTCATATGGTAGTTTGGTCCCCACAATATCACAAGGAGAATATGACATTGTACCAACCCCTACCCTTAATAACAAAACGTGTGCTTCAGAAGACCCAATTCCTTTGAAGTTTGAAACCTCCCATTTTACTAAGTAGTAATGCCGTCTTTCCTTTGGGGTCAAGGGCATTTTGGAAATTAATTACTTGTTGAATGGGCAATTTGTCCGGACAATCAAAGGTGGCCCTTACTTTATTTTGGGGACCATTTATTGGCATTAAGCAAAAAGATTATGTGGCTAATGATTCTTTTAATAAGGTATTTAAAGATGGCAAACAAGGAGGAAGTGGTTAAAAAGAAGTTGGTAAGCATAGGATAAGGTTCCATTCATGGCTCTAATTTTTATTGCTATTTATTGTTGCCTCTAGTCGCCATTGACTTTCAATTATGTCTAAATTGAAATGGAATTTTTTTTAATTGATTTCTTTTTTGAATAAAAACTACTTTTTGAATTTTTTTAAATTTTGATTTCTAGGTTTTGAATCGTTTGGATTTGAATTGGACTAGGGGTGTAAACGAGTCGAGCTCGAGCCAAACTCGTCTTATTTCGTGAGCTCGAGCTCGAGCTCGGCACAACAAAAAACCCATCCATCAAATTTATTTTTTCAATTAGAAAAGTAATATTATTCTTTTTTATTTATTATTAATAATATCCATTATTATATATTATTAATATGTATTAAAAAATATAGAAAAAAGGTAAAGCTCGCGAACCGGCTCGCGAGCTGTCGAACAATTGAAATGAAGCTCAAGCTCTACTCGTCGAAAAGCTCGGGCTCGTGAGCTCGAGCTTGAGCTCGAGTACGAGCTTTTTTCGAGCAAGCTCCAGAAGCTCGCGAGCCGGCTCGTTTTATTACACCCCTAAATTGAACGCGTATTTGAGATTTTGATTTCCGATTCGATTTTGGATCTGCAAATAATACTAAACATTCCACCATTTTTCCCAAAAAATAATACTGTTAATTAATATTAATATGTATTTTATCTATCGGTGAATAATTAAATATAATTTTTGGATTACGTCGATTTTTATATGAAAATTTTAAATTTTCAGATAAACTATTCTCCCCCCGTTTGGATTGGAATTGAAACTAACATTTTACTTTTTTACTTTTAAAATATTAGAAAAATTGTTACTTTTGATTCGTTCCATCTAATTTCATCACATCCTTCCAACCACGCCACAAACTAATGTTTGAAACGTTAATAGTCACATCTTAAATTACTAAAATAAATAAATGGAAGGTAATTAACATGCATGTTTTGACTATAAGATTAGGTCGAAATATATGGATTTCTTTTTGTAAGGGTTTTTGTGTTTTTTGCATAATTCCCTAACTAACCATCTTTATTATTCTAGGCTTATGAGTATATTTCTTTCGTCAATAAGTTCATCCCGTTAATATTTATTATAAAAAAAGGAAAAATTCATGTATATAATAAAATTACCCCCAACTCTTTACACTCAATTCTTAATTGTAACCCGAATTTAATCAATTTTGACCACAAAAATCCAATTTTAACTTTTTTTTTCAAAAAATATATTTTTGCCGCCGGTCTTTGGCGTTGACTTTTCGATTTTTTTTTCTGGTCTGTTTTTTTCGCCACCGCTCTCTGACGTTGACTTTTTTTAGTGGTTTTTTTTTAATTTTTTTACGCCCGTCGCTAAACGTTGACCGTAATTGTGTTGTCATTAACAGTAATTATACTGTCATTGAAAGTAAATTAACGTAATTATACTGTCACTGACAGTACATTAACGTAATTGTACTGCCGTTAGACAATACATTTATGTAATTGTACTGTCGTTGACAATATAATTAGAGTCAACGACAATATTATTTTTTTTTTTGTTTTGTTATTTTTTTAATTTTGTTTGATTTTTTGACAAGTCAACATAATTATATTACTGTCGTTGACAATATAATTAGAGTCAACGACAATATTATTTTTTTTTTTGTTTTGTTATTTTTTTAATTTTGTTTGATTTTTTGACAAGTCAACATAATTATATTACTGTCGTTGACAGTAAAACAACTGTAAACACAATAATATTACTACCAACTACATCAATATTATTATATTTTGGATTTTTTTTGTTTTGTTTGACTTATTCACGGAATAATGTAATAATATTACTATCTATTATTGTAATATTACTGTAAACACAATAATATTATTGTGGTTGACGGTAATATTACTGTTGTTACAGTAATATTATTGTCAACCACAATAATATTAATTCTTTTGGCTTTTTATTATGTTGAACGGTCAACATATTAGTATTACTCTATTACACAATAATAATGACTTTTGTTGTGTTAATATTACTGTGCTAGAGATTAATATAACAATATTACTGTGTTAAACTGTAGTATAATTAATTTTACTGTGTTTGACAGTAATATAGTTAATATTACTGTCAACCACATCAATATTGTTGTTTAAACAGGGCCCAAAAATACGTTAAAGGGAAGAAAAAAAAGTCAACGCCGAAGACCAGCGATCAACGACGGCGACAGACAAAATTGTCCATATAATTGTGTTTTGGGTCAAAATTGAATAATTTATGAAATTTGGGGTGAAATTGAGATTAAATTGAATTAAAGAATGAAATTGGAACATATTAAAATATGATGGGTTATTTTAGTCTTTAACAAACCTCTAGACCATGTGTTGATTTGTTTGTAATTGTCTGAATTATTTTATGAATAAGCACCCATTGATGGCCTTATTTGTAAAATGCCATATTTTTTAAACTTGTTTATTTACATTTTAATTTAAAATGGAAGAATTACTAAAGCACGGCAAAGAAAAATATCCCAACTAAAACGCGTAGGGTCACAAAATTCCACCCAAGGGAAAGTGACTCTCCAATAGTAAGACAACAATTTGATTATTCTCAATTAATTAATTAAAGAGTGCCCTTAATTTATAGGTCCAATTTAAAATTGAGAAAGTAACCCTCATCATGGGAATAATTATTGAGTACAATACTATTTTGTTATTTGTTAGATATTGGATTAAGTAAAAGTAAAAGATTAGCCTAATCTTAATCATCATCACTAATACAAAATCTTGATTAAGCTTAAGGGGCTCTCTCCCACCCAAACAAAATATAATATAGAAAAAAGAAAAAGAAAAAGAAAAAAAAGAAAAATGGGAACCTCTTTCTTCCTCTTCGGAAGGAAGAACACCGTTTAAAAAGAAAACGCCGTTTACTTGACCTAGTCCGTTAGCCACGTGACCTTGAAGACTTTTATAAAGCGAAAGTCACGTGACCTCTCGAATGGCGCTGGAGCAGCTGAGTTTAGGTACGGGGCCCGTTGACGGCGGAGCAGACGGCCGTCAGCCGTCGGGGGATGGCGGCGGCGGTGGCGATGAAGGAACGAAAACAGCGCGGCTGCCGCGGTGGACTAGACAGGAGATTCTGGTGCTGATTCAGGGTAAGAGAGTGGCGGAAAACCGCGTTAGGAGAGGCAGGGCATCCGGGTCTGCTTTCGGGTCGGGTCACATCGAACCGAAGTGGGCATCGATTTCTTCATACTGCAAGAGGCACGGGGTGAACCGGGGACCGGTCCAGTGCCGGAAGAGATGGAGCAATTTAGCCGGAGATTTCAAGAAGATCAAAGAGTGGGAGTCAAAGATTAAGGAGGAAACGGAGTCGTTTTGGGTTATGAGGAACGACTTGAGAAGAGAGAGAAAGCTGCCTGGGTTTTTCGATAGGGAGGTTTACGATATTCTTGACGGCGGCGTCGGCGCCGGCGGTGGAGAGGATTTGGAGATGGGTGGAGAATTATCTCTAGCTCTGGCCCCTGCGTCGGCGGTTGGTGAAGAAGGGGCGGATCAGGAAGCGTTGTTCGATAGTGGGCGGAGCACGGCAGCGGATGATGGGCTGTTCTCGGATTTCGAGCAATCGGGTCAGGAGGAAGCGATTCGGAGTAAGGAGACTACGGTTAAAGATATACCCGCTCCCACTCCGATTTCAGGTAACCTGAAAATGCAACGATTGTATATTCACAAATCGGAAATATTTGCTTCTCTTATCGACTACCGTGCATGTTATGCTTATGCTTATGCTTATGCATGCAGAGTTATGCATTTGTTGTGGATGAAGTACACTATAATAATACCACGGTTTTTAACTTGGTTCTGCATCGATGATTATCGAAATCGAAACTTGATGTGATTCCATTTAATTCCGTGATCTTTTATATTTTGTCTTTGGGCTTGTAGATATATCTATAAAGGATATTAGATTTTTTTTGTAAATGAGTTTTTTGTCTGATTTATCTGATCGCGTGGTGATAAAGTACAACAAATGTATGTATATATATATATATATATATATATATATATATATATATATATATATATATATATATATATATATATATATATATATATATATATATATATATATATATATATATGAGAGAGGATGTCCACTTGTATATAATGGTTGTTGAAATTGCTGGTTTGTATAATTGTATTCTGTTTGAAATACCGGTGAATGTTATAATGATATCTTATATGTAGTAGTATTCATCGCGCATCCTAACTTATATAATTTATACGAGAAAAGTTCCACCGTTGTATTGAAAGATGGGACTGTCACGTGTGAACATTACTAGCTAAAATTCATAATGTTGTTAATATGCAAAATCTGCTCGTTTTGACATTTTTTTTTTCATTGCAGTTGCAGAGAAGAAGCGGTATCAATTGTTTCACGAAGAATCTCCTGGTCAAGGTACTTTGACCTGCACTAATATAATGCGTCTAATTGTTGGTTAAGGAAGATAAGCTTTTTGTTATTCTTATGCATTTTCATTTCGATGGTAATGACTCGAATATAATGATGCTTTTATTTCATGTAAATATTAAAGTGTTCGTTGTTCATAGTCGGTTTTTGAGCGTCTGCAAAATCATTTTTCTCTAGAAATAAGTTGTTTTAAGCCATAATCTCAAAAGCATGTATGAGATAGCTTTTATGGTTTAAAAGCACTTCCGGAGGTAACTAACTATCAACGGTATTTAACATTCATAACCTTATTGTTTTTGTCTAAATTATTATTTTTTATATATTAGATAATTTCATTAAAATAAGCTAAAAATTAAAGTTGATTTGCAAACACCCCAACCTTAGGAAATGAGCATTTGTTTTCATATTTAAGTGGTGTTCGCAAATTTTTAGAAATAGATTATGAGTTTTTTTCTGCACATAATCAGTTTTTAGGAGTTTGCAAAACAAGCTTCTGCTTTTGCTTCTCTTAAAATAAGTTGCTTTAAGCTATAATTTTAACAGCACCCATGTACCTGTTTTTTCTAATTTAGTTTATTTTCCAGCCAATTTGCAAACACCCCCAACTTTTAGAAATTAGCACTTAATTCCAACTTAACTCAGAATCACTAACTTTTGCTTTTAAATAAGCTCTTACCATAAAGGCTTTTGCAAATACCCGCTTCGTAAAATCGACGCTTGCTTTGCTATTTTCTGAAAATCACGACTGGATCTTTATGCAGATGAGAGTTTATTTTTTCTGCTACTTTCGTCGAGCCATATTTTCTGAATATGGCTTTTTATTTGTAGGGATAAATAACGACAAACAACCTGAATCGGAAGAAGCCACTGCTCAACAAGGAAGGAAAAGAAAGCGACGTGAAACTGATGTAGACGAGGGAGAAACTAATACAAATACAAATACAAATACAAAAAATATTGAGCATAAATTGGTCGAAGCTTTAGAAAAAAACGGGAAATTATTGAGCTCACAAATCGAAGCTCAAAACAGCAATCTTCAGTTGGACAGGGAACAAAGAAACGAGCATGTCAATAGCCTAATCACCGTCCTGAATAAGCTTGCCGATGCTTTCGGAAGAATTGCTGATAAATTGTAGCCATGCATGCTGCTAGGTGTATATAATAACTATTTGTTTATACATACATACATAAATTCGAGGATTTCTTTTTTATTTTCTCTATCATATAACAAATTCGAGAATGGCTTATTTACTTTATTTTATTTTGGGAGTAAACCTTTTTGTGTTGGGTTATTTTTAGATTTATTGTTACAGGTGATTGATTGATTCTGTAGTAATGATGTAACTTAATTGACAATGCTACACATTGTTTTCTTTTTAACTTCATTGTACGAATGTATATATAGAGAGTATTTTAGTGTGGTAAATGATAATCCTTATTTATTGACATTTTTATGCTTTTTAACTGCTTCGATCTACAATATTTTGTACGGTAAAAAAAGGTACAAAATATTGTAGAACTACAATATTTTACTTGTAGAAACTAAAGTTCAAAGGAAACATAATTTGAACTAGATTACAAGTTCAAATTCAATCTTATAATTAAATCATTTGTTTGAATTAATATGAGTCACGTTTCTATTTTTTTTTATTATTATCTTGTCCTTATACCCTAAATTATCTAACATATACATTAATGTTTCTTCAATTTCAGATTTATTTTTCTTTATTTTTATTTTTTTCTCCCACTCTCTCTCTCTCTCTCTCTCTCTCTCTCTCTCTCTCTCTCTCTCGTTTTCTCCAGTGGTAGCACGAAGGCCGGCGGCGGAGAGAGCAGGAGCGGGAGCGGCGGGTGGAGTCGTAGTGGAGACAGCGGTGGCAGGTGGAGTCGTGGTGCAGGTGGCGGCGGCGGGGGGTTGTGCGGTGCAAGGGGTTGTGGTTATGTTAATGAATCCATATATCGACTAATTGAATCTGATTTTTTTTAGAGAGATTTTGTTTGGTTTGGGTTCAAAATGGCAGATCTAAGTTTTCCGAAAGGTGGTAGGTGAGTATGGTTGCGGTGGCTCCGACAGGGGTTTGGCGGCGGCTGCGTTGGTTGCTAGGGTTGGCGACGGCTAGAAGTTGTTGGCGAATAGGGTTCAGGATAGTACACCATAGTAAATCATAATACACCATTATATACCATAGAACGCTATAGTACACCATAGTATTTTTAAAATCTGCTGTATATATTTAACAAAAACGAAAAGAATTTTTTTTCGTAATTTTCAATAAAATGTTAAAAATGAGAAAAAAATAATTTGTTTATAATAATGTAAAAAATGCTAGAGTAAAAAACGAAAAACAAAGATGGCAAAGTCCGTAAAAACAAAATAAAATGTTAGATAAAAAAATGAAGATATTAAATGCATAATAAAAATTGATAAATACAGTTTGAATTTTACTTAACGCAAAGTTCGAATTTCTGAGTGGGGTGACATTTTTTGAATGAATTTAATAAAGGATGGGAAGCAAATTTTTAATTGGGCTTGTCATCTAGTTGTAATTAATTTTGTCATCGGGGACCTATATCTTAAAAGTATAAAACCCGTTCATAATATGTTGTACAAACATATATAAGTTTTTATTTATAGGGGTCATTTGATATACACCCCTAAGATGGAAAATATATAGGCCTAGATCCACCCCCAAAATCTTCCTTTGCTGCCTTTACATGCAATATTTGCCCTAACTGCATTCATATATATATATATATATATATATATATATATATATATATATATATATATATATATATATATATATATATATATATATATATATATATATATATATATATATATATATATATATATATATATATATATATATATATATATATATATATATATATATATATATATATATATATATATATATATATATATATATTATAATTTATTTTCTTAGTTTTTTTTTTTGAATTTGTTTCCCGAAAAGTTTAATATTTCGAATATGACTATATATGATTATACATGGCTATAGTAGTCGACTCTATAGTCATATTCATGCTTCATATTATCGTTTTTTACATTTTCAACTTAAAATTGTATATTTTCGATTATACGTATAATCATATTTATCAAATTATATAAAAAAAAAAACGAATATTATTTACGAAACAAATCCATCAACGTCACTGTACATTAGAAAAAATCATGCATATCTTATATACGTGATTATATGTGACTACAGATGACTATACATGTATATGACCACATGTGACTATACATATATATGACTACATGTATACGACCACATGTGACTATATGAGTATACTTATATATAGTGTAGTTTGTAGTTTATAGCAACAATGCGGAGTGATGAATCAAAACTATTTTTCATTGATATGTGACAAAAAAAGAAGGAAATTATAAATGTAATGTAATTCGCACACATATAACTATATGCTACTACATGTGACTATAGTTACAATTATCTATAGTTATATATAGACTACTGTAGCATGAATCCAACTTCACAAGGCGCTTATATGCATCTTATTCTCTGCATCTCACGAAGTTATACAAATAGAAAAACCTGTGACGAAAAAATATGAGTTAAAAAAAACGAAGAGCAAAATGAAACATGCAAATTACATTACATGAAAGGTGAAATGTGTGATAACCCCCTAGTTTTGAAAATGTGGGATAGGTTCTATGGATTTTTTCTTTCCTAGTCAAAAATCCAAATTCTAATCTTAATTTGATAGACCCCCTTGACAAATTAAAATACCCGTTTTGCCCTTTTAATTACAATTTAAAACCCTAAACCCTAGCCTTTTTTTTTCTTTTCCACTCCCACATCTATCTATCAGCCGTCCCCTTCCCCACTCTTTCTCTTTCTTTCTCTCTCTTCATCTCTCTCTCTCTAACTCTCTCTCGGCCCACAACCCTCCGCCGCCGCCGTTGCTCCCCTCACCTCCTTGCGCCGTCGCCGCTGCTCCCCCACTCTTTGCGCTGTCGCCGCCACTCCCCTCACCTCCTTGCGCCGTCGCCGCTGCTCCCCCACCACCTTGCTCCGCCGCCGCCGCTCCCCTCACATCCTTGCGCTACCGCCGCCGCTGCTCCACCACCGCCTTTCGCCGCTGCTCCGCCGTCGCCTTACGCCGCTGCTCCGCCACAGCCTTGTGCCGGCCGTCGTTGCTCCTCTCACCGCCTTGAACTCCGTATTAAACCATCCACTGCACATTTTAAAGTTATTTTTTTAATTTATGAATGTGCATCCATTTTTAATTTATTTTTTTAAGGTCTCAATTCTTACTATTTCACCTTTTTTAATTGTTTTTTTTTATGAAAACCAACTGAATTCGAAAATTTCAAATCGTGATCCGACGATGTGTAGTCAGATAATGGTGAATTTTAGATCTGGAACCAGTGGTGTTTGATTTGTATATATTTACTACATTTATCAAAAAAAAAAAGAACCAGATCTACTATGTTTTTGAAGTTTGGAAGATTTGCGAACAATTAATATTAAAATCTTTTTCTTTTGATTAATTTAATTTTTTATTATAAATATATGTAATTTTTTTTTTTGTATTTATTTGAAGATGATTCGAAATGCCACAAGTGTGAGAGCTTTGTTTGTCTGTAGTACAAATTTAATCAGTAGCGGTTACTTAGTCCTATACAGTCATATGTAGTCATGTATATTCATGGCTACATATAACTATACATGACTATAGGACTTGTAGTATACTATAGTCATTGTAGTCGATTTCAGTTCAGTAAATTTATCAAAAAAAAAAATCATTTTCTTTTGTATTTTTCATGTAATCTAACTCGCATGTTCCATTTTGCTAATTAACTCGTATTTTTTTGTCGCAGGTTTTGCTTTTATTATAATTTTATGACATGCAAATAATAAGATGCGATGAAGTGCCTTGTGAAGTTGGATTCATGCTACAGTAGTCTAAGACTTTATGTCACTATATATAACTATAGATAATTGTAGATAATTATAGTCACATGTAGTAACATACAGTTAGTTATATGTATGCTATAGGTTTTTTAAGTACAGTAATACTTGTTCATATTTGAAGAATATATGTATGTGATTGTATTTTTTTATTTTTTGTTTGTTAGTTGAATTACAATATCAATATCTAAATTGTGAATTTTATTTGTTGGTGTAAATGAATTTTGGCGTAAAAAGACAGTACATGACTATATATAACTATATATGATTATTGAACTTGTAGTAAACTGTAGTCATGTGTAGTATACTTTCAGTTAAGTAATTTTACCAAAATTTGAATTTATAAAAAAAAATTAAAAAATTAAAAATTTAAAAAATTAAAAAAATTAAAAAATTAAAAAACTTAAAAAAAATCAAAAAATTAAAAAAAAATCAAAATAGTAAAAAAAATTATAAAAAATACAATAATAATAAAAAAAAAAGGTACAATATAATAAAAAAATTATTAAATTACAAATGATGATATATGCAGTATCAAAATACTAAATGCAGGTCCAAAATGATAAATGCAGTTGGTGAAAATACTGAATGCAGTTGGGCGAAAATTACAAATAAGGGCACAATAATACTTTTGCCTCTCCAGGGGGTATCTCAAAGGAAGATTTTTAGGGGTGGACCTATCCCTTAGGGGTGTGCGCGGGTCATAAACCCGCGGGTTATATCAAAACCCGCCCTCGTCCCGTCTAACAACAGTTCTTGATTTTGAAGAACCAAACTTGTGGGCTTTCAACGGGTTTACGATAGGCGGGTCCATGACGGGTTTGTAGTAGGACCCAACCTTTACGGCTCGAAACCCGTTATCGTCTAAACCATATATTTTTTTTTTGATAATATTCAAGTTTTACGCGAGAATAATTACAAATTAAAATGAATAATCTAAAATCTTAAATTAAAACCAGACATAAATAATGTAAATGTCAAGAGTAAATAAAAACTAATACAAGTTTTAACCATAAAATCCATTATAAGACTAAAAGTAACTAATTCAAAACTTAAAAGACAAAATTTAAATAAAATAAAAATAGCATTTTCAAGTATAACCAAGCCATTCGACATTTTAGCTCCATAAAATCATAAGTTTATAATATAGGTTATTAACTTCAAAAGAAAAAACATACAGTAGATTATAAGAAAAAAGAAAAGTATGAAACAAACCTAATTCTTCCAAGCTTGATCGTATGATTCCTCGTCTTTCTTCTCCTTTATATATATATACTAGTAATACACCCGTGCGATGCACGGTTATTACATATTGTTAAATATTTTTAGCGGAAAATACATATTTCTAATGTTTGATTGAATAAAAAGGTGAACAAATATAGGTTTATTTTAATTACTGAGTACCATGCCTTTTTTTTT